TTTTTCTTAAATCACTCTTAGACATTGATGGTATTATGCCAGCTATTGGTGAATCCAGACAATCTTTAATGGGTCATGGCCATGATTAGACAATCAATTCTGTAAAGGGCACTGTATGAAATTTCATGTTATATTCTGTGAAAGATTAATTTAAATGACTTCCACTGTTGCAAAAAAACATTTTTTTCTTTCCTGATGATACTTCGTGAGTTTGAATGACGTGTGCTGTAATGAAACAACCAGGATGATTCTGTGATGGAGAAAACAATGCTGAGGATAACAACAATTAAAGTCAATTGACAGCAATGTAGTGTTAATTTAATACATGGGTTCTATAAAAGCCTACAATAAGTAAGTATACCAATCACCTAGCACTTTGGAACTTTCATCTCTTTGTACTCTTTGGATGTTATTCTATAACAAGGTTTTTGAATGCTTATTTACAGACACACACATCAACTCCAAATGGGTAATGTTGATTAAGCAGAAAATTTTGTTAATCTTAATATACTTAAAGCATTCCCACATAAAATAAACCAGTAACTTTTTATGATAAAAAAGGAGAAATATACATGCTACATCCCCCGTTATGGTTTGAATCTGGATGTGCCTCAAGAGGTCATGGGGGGAGGGCCATTGAAAGCCACTGAGTCTAGCATTTGTGATTGGTTCCTTGTCTGTCACAGGGATTGGCAATGTGAGTGCTGCACCTGCCCAGGGGAGGGTAGCATTAGGTGCAATATAAGGGAGGGAAAGAGGTGTGCTTTTCCTTCTTGTCTCTTTTGTTCTGGTTGCTTCTGGTATCTGCCGCAGCTGCCATGTTGCCCATCAGACATGCCATGTTGCCTTGGAGTCAGCTGAGTATGAACTGAAACTTCCATAAACTGTGAGCTAAATAAACCTTTCCTTCCTTCATTTTGGGCTTTGGGTATTTTGTCTCAGCAACAAGAGAAAAGTAACCAGCACATTTCCCAAAATAGCAGAGCTACTGAACAACTGAATGTTATAAATACAAATTTTTATGGAAATTAATAAACTGTTCAAAAAGAGAGAAAAGGTCATGAAGGACATGGGGTTCAAAGGGGGAGACTTAAGCATATCTTCCAGAGTAAGAAAATATATCTTCCAGAATAAGAAATACAGTGCACAAAACCAAAGACACAGCAAAAACTAAAGAATACTTAGGGAATAAAAAATTCAAAAATCAGCATACTGACCAACATGTTGCCAATCTTGTGCTATAGGTCATCCTCCTGAAAAATAATAATAACAATGAAGAGAAGGGATATTTGAGGTGAGATTTGAGTACTATATTTGAGAAAATTAGTTATTTGGCAAGGAATTATACATCCACTGACTAATAAGATGGCACAGACATCGTATCTGCATCATAGCTCTTTGCCTCAACTCCATCATTTATAAAGTAGTATAAGAATGAAAACAGGCCATGGTGGTTCACATCTGCAATGCCAGCACTCTGTAGGCTTAGGCATCAAGGTTTCCATGAGTTCAGGGCTAGCTTGAGTTACACAGTGAGTTCAAGTTCAGCCTGAACTACATAGGACAACTCAGTCTCATTTAAAAAAAAAAAAAACCTATCATATAGGGCTGCTACTTTCTATAGATCAGATAACTTTTGTAAAATCCTTAACAGTTTAGGTTTTTAGCAAATGGTATTGCTTTTGTTGATAGGGATAAGTGAAGCTTTTTATAGAAATGCAGAGGATAGATAATACAGAGTTCTTCTGCAATAGTCAGGATTAAGTAATAAAATTTGGATGCAAAGTAGTAGGTATGACTATCAGAAAATAACAATGCATTGTTTTACTGTAATAAGAATGTGGTGATCTGATATCCCCAGTACAGGAAACTAATACAAATATAAGAAGAGAGTTGCTGCAGCAAACATCCAAAAATGTAGAGAAGCCTTCAAAATTGTGTACTTAAAAAAGGCCAAGGATATAGCTCAGTGGCACAGTGCCGGCCTGGCAAGGGCAAAGTCATTAGCTTGATTCCTCATAGGAAAGAGAAAGAAAGAAAAGAAAGAAAGAAAGAAAGAAAGAAAGAAAGAAAGAAAGAAAGAAAGAAAGAAAGAAAGAAAGAAAGAAAGATAGATTGTGCACTTGGAAGAGCCTGAAAGAAATTTAAGAAACATGATTTTAAAAGCACACACCAACTTAAGTAGATCATTATGACAAATGTGAATGTCAATGACTGCAGCAAAGTCAGGTCACAGACGATAAAAGCCTGTATTTCCTTAGAGAATACTTAAATCATCAGAATTACTCACTGGTTGAAACAGGAATCAAAGATGATGCCAGCTAAAGGAAAACTATGAAATGATATTGGAAACTGATGGAAAAATGATCCTTGTTGTACAGAGGCAGAAGATTGGCATTCCACAGGAAGGTGGAAAGTCCGACTTGAAAAAAATGAACCTGGACATTTAGCTTAGACTTTCAAGCAAACTATTGAGAATGAAGACTTTTTTCCTTGCAGTATAGCAAAACAAGAGATGAAACAAACAATTGAGGGTTAGAACTGATGAGCAAAGGAGAACCAAAATTTAAAGGTTGGAAAAATTCTCGTCCTACATAGATAACAAAAGCTGCTGAATTCGAAGAGTCAATGTCAAAAGACATGTGCTCTTGAGGGAGAGCCAGATGTATCTCCAGACAACATTTTACTAGTGCCTTCAGAGAATCAAAAGATCAGAATATTTAGTTATGTAGAGATCTCTTTGAAAATACTAGGCTCATGAATCTTCACTGTCATGTTAGCAGAAACAAAAACACAAGGTGAGATTATTATGGGGAAGAACCACCTGTCTAATGTGCACATGCCCCTGACACACACAGGAGATTCACAGACTCCTGACATTTTATACTGTCAGCTTTATGTTGGCTTCAACTGAAACAGAGGAAGAAAAAAATGAAAGTCATTGTTGGATTCCAAAATTTCACATACAGAGAAGAAAGAGGCTCGAGAAAAACAGAAACTACTCAGCTGTAGGCATATGCTTCTGTTCAGAATAAGGAAAGAGAAGATCAAGGTTACAGTCACAAACCACAGAACATTATTCTCACACATGGAAATCTAATATTTGTTTAGCTGTCTTCCAAACTTTCTTGAAACCACTGAGAGGCTCCTAGTTTACCTTCATGTTCTTATTTTTTAAATTTTATTTTAAAGAGAATAAAACCAAACAAAATGAAATAGAATAAAACCAATCAAAACAAAACAATGAGAGCACTACAGAACTTCAAAAATAATAGGAAATCAACAATGGCTACAAAAATTCTTCTTCTTGTATTCAAAATAGCTGCCCATACCATAAGACATTTCTTGATTGATAGTGTGTCTCTTCCCTATCCTTTGCTAACACTGCCTTCGTATTTTTGGCACAGATAATTTGTTTTCTAGTATCACAGGTCTACAAATGAAGAAGATTTCTCCAGGATAAATCATTCCCAGAGTCACACCTACACCAGATTCAGATGCTGTAGAAGATAAGACCTATCAATTGGTAATGCTGAGATAATTAATGTGTTGCACTTTGGAAGCTGTCATGATTTGAAACTTTGAGTCATATTGTAATGGAACAAATGTATTTTGCTAATGGTACAAGTGAAGACATTTGGGAACTCGGCAGAATAATGCTGTCTCCCTTCAGTGATGACCATGTTTTATGAAAGTGCTATTTTACAGGATAAAAAGGCAGGTATAATTAAATTAATGACACTGAGATGGTGAAATGGTGCTGGATTGTTTGGAAGGGTTCCCAGATGCCCTTATCAGAGAAGTGTCATTGTAAGGATACAGATTCGGAGATTCTAGCCACTGGCATTTAAAGAGAAGAAGGGGCCCAGAATCAAGGTATGTAGGAAGCCTCTAGAAGCTGACACATACCAGGAAACAGTCTTCCTTACAACTCCAGAAGGAATGTGGCCTGAGGATACTCAATCCCAGCAAGACCTGATTTATACTTATAAAATTTGCGACAGTAAGATGAAAATTTTGTATTGTTTTATGAAAACATGATTGGATCAACTTGTTGTATCAGTAAGAAGAAATTAATACATGGTAGACATTTGAAAGAAGAAACTATGATTTAGATCCTAAAGTGGGAAGGAGCAGAGGAGTTCATGACACCATTGCTTCAAGGCAGAGTGAGACAGCGGTGTCTCCTCCAGTGTGTTACTTGGAATAATCCATTATTTCTAAATTTTCACCCCAACCACCTACACATGGAAGTTCTGTTTTCTACTTTGTCTCAGTTATGACCATCTTTATGAATTCTGATTTACCATACTTATGTTAATATCTCATCTTTATACAATATCAATGAACCTGTGATTCTTTTCATTCTGATACAAGGATTCACTTCTTTGTTGAAAATAGTATGCATAACAGCAGCGAACACCACCCTCTTATTCTGTAGGACAAAACTGAATGCAGAAAGCCTTGAAGTGAAGAAAAACTAGAATTTTACTCTAAATGTATTATGCTTTTATCACAGAGTTTTGGACAGAACAGAAAGAATACCTCCATGTGTCTGAGCCACGAGTCTGTAGGGTGGATTCTAATCACCCTTACCTGACTTTATTTCTCTGTTTCTGGAATCATTTTTCTTACACTGACTGAGGCAAGAGATTCAATAGATAATTTCTTAAGTTGTCGTGGCACATCAATTCAGTTAATAGCCCTTTGCTTCACCAGTGATGAAAGCTGTACAATGATTAAAGAGGATGATTCACATAAATTGGGAAGTAAAAACTTACACATGCTGGGGGATTTTAGTCTCCTAGCACCTTGCTGTCCCACCAGACTTCTTATCCAATTTGATTGTTTAGAAATATTTAGGCAGTAACATCAAGTATAATTCCTATAATTGATTCGCATTTAGGAGACATGATTTAATTTTAACTCATGCTTCTTCCAGTACAGCAAAATGATAGGGCATCAAGTTTTACTTACACACACCCAGACATAGACACAGATACAAATCTTAAATGGTTATTTTATTTAGAATTGTTAGGACATTTTTAATCCTTAGGAACTGGATATCCCACATGGTCTTTTTTGCTTCTGGTTAATAATTAATCATGAAATAAGTTTGTATAATTTCTCATTCTGTATCAGGAATATAGTTAAGTCTTTAAAAGATTTTATGGCTAACATGAATGCTTCAGATTGCAGATAAAGCTCAGAAACATACTAAGCAGTTTTGGATAAGCAGAGCTTTTTGTTTCAGACTGAGCTAGATATACATTAGCTTTTTCTAATACATTTTAACATTAATAGGTTAGTGAAACTCTGGTTCTTGATCTTTCTGTAAAATTGAAATAGTATCTAACTTGAATGATTTTTAAGATAAGCAATATTGTTCATAGCGCATATGTAGAAAAAGTGGTATTTTCTAATTAGCTAACACACTTCATTACACTAAATTGTCTGAAAAATGTTATAGAATTTTTATATCTTCAATTTAAAGTTTAATATGCATACTAAATATGGAACAAGGAAGTTTTAAATTGAGTCAAGATGAACTTTTAACTAGTGTAACCCAAAATCTATAATCACCCAAATAACTTTACACGTGAGTAGGGAAATAGAGTTCCTCTCTTCATGCAAAATTGTTAAGAAAAGAATTATCCTCTTTACATAAAACACTTTGTATTATCCATCTGAAATATTTTCTGATAAGTATCTTGAATCTTGAGTTGAATTTCGACAAAAAGTTCAATATATGGCAAAGTTCAGGTGAAGCTCACAATTTACAGTGACTGATTGGCAGTTGGCTATGTGTTTTAAAGCCTCCAAAGTAATAGCCTTCATTTAAAAAAAAATCAGTGCTGTATTCAAAGTTACAATTTATGAGTAACAGAGGTTGTCAGGAGCAAACTGAAACAAAATAAGCTTTTTCTTTTGTAAAATAAATGCCTATTGCATTGCTTACAGTTTTAGTTTCATCTACTGGTTGAAGCTATCAGTATAAAATCCAAGCCTTCTGATGCGGTATTCTAATTTCTTATTCCTACTCACCATCTTTACTCAATAGGAAACTGACTGTCTTCGTCCTCACCTTTTACAGAAACAATTTTAAAATCAAGCAGTCATGTAATTTGGACAGTGTTTCCTACAACTACTTTAACTGAATGCTTCTAAGGTCCCACAATATACAGAGTTTGAAAGTTGGGGATCCCACATTTAATTTCTCAGTAAGCTTTTAATTAGGGCCTACACAATGTTGAGTGCATTTATTTTTTAACTCTTAATGAAGTAAATTTACCTAAGGAACTCATGCAGCTTAGAAATTACACTGATTTCTCGAGTACTTTTCCAGTGTTATTTTATATAGCTAATGCTTTTCCATCTTCTGTTCATGGCATTTCATTTTTATTCCCTTATAGTCCATGAAAAGCAGATAAATATTTGGGAAAGAAATTCTCTGATGCATATGTAGGCAAGCATTCATTTGTAAATGTGAGGATAAAACCATCAAAGCTTGCAATTTAAATTTCTGCTTTATTGAGGATCCATATACTCTATGATAGAGGGCCTGTGAGAGCTCATCACTAAGTGGGAACCATGGGAGACATTAGGGTTAAAGAATCTCTTGTGAAATAATACTAAATTTAAGCTGACACATGTGTTATTAAATAGAGTGAATTTCCCACCTTATCTACATCATCTTTTCTATCTTTGACCTTTAATTCATTTCTTTCCAACTTCCTAAAATGTCAATTTTTTAGTGTAGTCCATTTCTGTGCACATGGAAATTTTGCATCTCTGTATGTGCTATATCACTTTGAAGATATTAATTTAGTTATACAAATGTAAAGCATACTGGCCCTACTATCACCTGAGCTACTGGCGAGTCTGAGGTAGGAGAAACAAGTGAGCGAGGAGCTCAAGACCAGTCTCGGAAATACAGAGATCCATTGCAACTCAAGAAAAGAAAATGGGAAAAAAATGAGAGAAGACAAAAATATTATTTGCTTCAGTTTCTCTTCAATTGTGTTTGCAAAAATGGCTTATAAATGAAAACTGTGCAATTTGGTGTCTTCGAGCAGTAACCTAAATATAGAATCCAAAGCTAAACAAATATTTGGATGAAGAAGAAATTCATACTTCTTAAGGAAACTGATTTCACTCAAATAACATTAATCAAGGAAATCAAAATCCTATTACCTTTGCAAGTCATTTAATCCGGATTAATTTCAGTTTTCAGATAGAGCTTTAGATAAGGTTAATAGTTTTAGATAGGGTTAATGGTCTTTAAGCAAGGGCTAATAGTATCTGGCTTAATGAACTTTGAATAGCTTATATGTATAAGAAGTAGGTCATATTTGTCACTCAGAAAGGCCCAAAAATAACACTGAATACATGTCACTTTCTTAGCCTACTACCTACCCTTCATATGTGTATTACATTTTTAGAGTTTCCATACATCCTATAATATGCAAAGTAACCTTATATCACTTTATACAAATCATGCTAAAGTAAGTACATAAAATGTACTTTATATAACCTCTGTAGCATATCCACAGGTATGTGGCTTCTGACTATCCCTTATTTGGGCTTTGCATTTCCCCCTAAGTTGTTATAAATGACATGCCAAATTGTTTTACATGCTAGATCCATAATTCAAAGAGGTAAAAGACATTCTGTTCCCAGTCAGAGAAATTTGTTATGCTTGTCTAGGTTTGGTGACAAGCATAATTAATGCCTTCATATGTTTTAGCATTTCTATTTGGAGTGAATCAAATACATACAATGAAGTAGGGCAGAGTATATTTTTTCTGTGTATCACTTCACACAGTTTAGGATACATTCACCTGGAAAATATAAACCATGAAACTCTTCTCAACATGAGTGCCCATACCTTCTTGTAAATCCCACTAGAAACCTTTCAGTTATTTTAAGGCATTTTAGAATTTTAGTCCTATGTTCCTGCAGTACTTGGTGAGGCCAGCTTCTTAAAGTAGCAGTATTCAAAGTAGCAGTTCTCAGACTGTGGTCTGCGTATCCCGGGGATGCCAAGACACACTCCAAGCATCTAAAAGATCAAAATGATGTTCACATCAACAAGAAGGCATCCTTGGCTCTTCTTTCTGTGTTGTTGTTTGTACTGGCTGAACAAAATCTGGCGTAATGAAAGTGGTGGCCTTTATTACAAGCCAAAGCAGAAGCCTAAAAGTGTGCCATGTTGTTTTTCACCATAATGTGTGCATAGTTCATACAAAAAAATTTTTTTTTTCACTAAATGATTGTCTCAGTTACTTTTTACTTGTTGTTGAGACAAAAATACCTAAAGCTCAAACTTAGGGAAAGAAAATTTCAATTCTTACAGTTCTTGGAGGTTTCAGTCCGTTCTCAGGTGGCTCCAAGGGGCAGCATGATGTGGTGGGGCCGTCCTTCATGGCTGCCGAAAACAACAAAAAAGAGAAAGACCTGTCTTCTTCCAGCCTTTACACTGGCTCCACCCCTGGGCGGGTGAAGCACTCATTCCACCAATCGGAGCACTGAACAACGAACCAATCACAAATTCAGTCACCTTCGAGACTTAACGAGGCTTTGGGGGGACATTTAAATAAACCACAGCAATGATATTCTTGATAAAGAGGCAGAAGTTACTAATCTTATTAAACATCAATCCTTACATACATGCATTCTTCATCTGTATAGCAAAATGAGAACTCCACATGAAGAAAATCTGTTGAGTTTGGAAGACAAGCCCTTGTGTAATTGAGCTGAAAGCGTCTGAATTAGCTGATTTGCTCAGGGAGCATGATTTTCACTTGAAAGAACAAATCACAGATAAACCATGATTCTTTAAACTTGGGTATTTGGCAGACATTTCTTTGAAAATAAGTACAATGAACCTATCACTTCAGTGAAAACAACTGACAATAGATGCGGCCAATGATAAAATGTGAGTTTCTGAGAGAAAACTAGAGCATTGGGAAACATGTCTTCCATTGAGAACTTGACAGCTTTCCAATACTTACACATATTTTTCATAAGAACAGCAATGATATTGATTTTGGGTTTTGGTAGTATATAGTGAAATATGTCATCATTTAGGAAAAGCTATAAAACTCATTAATGTTTTCCTAATGACCAATGTGAGACAATATAGAAGCACAATTTAAAGGCATTTAAAGTTCTACTGAGGGAAATTTTTGTATAATATAATAAATTAGTTGATAGGATTCCAACATATTGAGCTACTCCTTGGGAATGTATCCCTAGGCAAGGTCTAATTTTATATAAAAATATTTGCAATTATCAGAATGATCAATAATATACTCCCCTTTTCTCCAACTAAATATATACATATATATATATATGTATATATATATAGTCTACTTTCCTTATATTCTTTAACTCATATTGCAAAAAAGATTGAATCTTAAAGGAAATTTCAGAATCTGTCTACTCTCTGCTAATCTACCCATTAAAGAGTTTGCCATAAAATTCTTTCAGTCATCTCACTAAAATTTTTAAATATTCATAAAAGTATGTTTTCTTAACATAGTAAACTTACTATGGTTTTAGTCAAATGAATTAATAAAATTTTATGTTTTATTTCTAATATAGTAAACGTCAATTGCTGTAGCCTATGTAAACAAAAAAGCTTTTGTTTTGTTTTGTTTTATTTTGTTTCTCAAAAATTTGCAAGTGTAAAAGAAGTCCTAGGGTCAAAAGTTTGAGCAAGAAGAAACTGAAGAATAGCGTGTGTGATTTTAAAATAGAATCTTTAACTCCCTGGTTCTAAGGGATCTCATCCTTGGATTTACTCTACTTTTCCATTGGCTCCTTACCAATATCTCTTTCAGGTGTTTCTATTTACTTACTCTTTGCAGCAGTATTAGGGACTTCGTAATTCTTTCGCTGGTTCAGTTTTGTCTCATTCTATATTCTCCTAGACCTATTCCAGGATCTTTAAATGTACTGAATCTTCCCAAGTCTGTATCACCAGACAAGGACCCAAATTCTCAGGTTCTTCTCATATCTCTAAATGTCCACTGAAGATTTCCATTTCTATGTCCCAAGAATGTGCTGATTTCCACAAATCTAATGGTGCATTCATCATAAGAGTGAATATCCTCCTAGACTGTGGACTTCTTTGCAGTCACTCACAATCCCTAGGGAGATACCACCTGGCTATCTCTTTATTATTCAATCTTTGTCTCCACTGTTGTGATCTTACGATTACTATTAGTTCTTCTTTGCATTATTGTAGACTTGCTGTCTCCAGCAATAATCTCTAAAAATCCACTTTCTAGCATAGCAAAAGCAAGAGCTCATTTTTATCAAAGTAGATGAGGTGATTTAGATACTATATAATATAATGGAAGAGGAGCACAAAAAGAAATCAAGTAGAGGTTAGGGATATAGCTCAGTGGCATAAGTGCCTGCCTGCCAAGAGTAAGGTCCTGAGTTTGATACCAGATGCAAAGAATGAAAGCAAGCAAGCAAGCAAGCAAGAAAGAAAGAAAGAAAGAAAGAAAGAGAGAAAGAAAGAGAGAGAAAGAAAGAAAAAAAGAGAGAAAGAAAGACATAAAGAAATCAAGTAGAATGCTGTGATGTCGCCTGAATGAATCCATGTCCAGATAACTTAAAACTGGAAAGATCATAAATGAAAACATGTATCAAGATAACATTTCATATTATTTTAATGTATTGTATGCATTCCTTTAAGATAACCATATTCTGCATTGTTCTCTTTCCATACTATAAATTTGAAGATATCACTTACTCCCTTTGCAATTTCCAAATGTTCTCTTCAGAAAATTCCAGTTGCTTGGATTAGTTTACCCATAAATGCCTGCTGTCAAAACACCTACAATTCCAACAAAAGTGGTAGCTTCACAACGTTTTCTGTACATGATCCATATATTTTTTGTATTTATCTATACTATACTTAACATTTCTATTAAATACACTAAGTGTTCATTTCACTAGATTCTCTACTAGTTTTCAACCCTTCTCTCAGCATGCAGCATTCATTTATGACTTGGTTTCCCCAAATCAACCTTTTCCTGCTGATCCCAGAACCTTCAAAATTGGCTAAATTAACCAGTGCTATCAACTGAGACTTTGGCATTGTGTACTCTAGGACTTTAAATCCAGCATGTTTTGCTTTGTGTATAGGATGACTGCTTTCACAGCTAAACAATAAACCAGTATTAATGGGATGTTCTACACTCTCTCATTTTGTTTGAGTGTAACCCTAAGGATAGAGACAGGAGGCCCAGTAAAGGGAAAGAAGATAGACTAAGACTTCAGAGAGCCAATGCTATCCCCAGTCTCCATCATTAAACACTCTCAGGCAGTTCATTTCTTTCTTTAATTCTGTAAATATATATGTTGAATTTCCATAGTATATATTTTTGGCACAGGACTACAAAAATGATATTTCCCTTTTCTCAGTAGTTCATTACCTAAGAGGAAATAACTACATACAGAAGCATCTCTCCTTAAGGAATCTCATCAGCCATCTCATGCATCTTAAAATATTAATGCCTGAAGGAATTGTGAACGGAATACAATGTAACCCGTTCGCTTGATAGGTGAGGAAAGGGATTTATGTAAAAAACTGAATTAACTTCCTGAAAAACCCTAAAGTAGATTCCAGTTGTTCCACTTCTGAATCCAGGCTGCTTCCCACTAAATCACAGTGATCATATCAGAAGTACTCAGCGCATTAGAAACATTCATGACCCTTTCCTGGATATGAGGGTTGTGATAGAGTATTCAAATAAAACGCTGCAGTGAGAAAAAAGGAGTTTGGAAATAGTTATATTAAAAACCTGGGCCCTGAGCAATGGCATTCAGGCAACAGGCACAGTCCTATGTCACCTCTTTATGGTAGACAGAAAAGTTGGTAGCACTTTAAACATACTCACGAATTTCGTACAACTGATGGTTTGCAACTCAGCTGCAGAGATTGTGAAAGAGGAGCAAGAAGTCTATGAGATGAAATGAGAACGAAGGAAAAGGGATCCCAAAACAGATTTTCATAGAAATCTGTTCTTTAAAAAGCTGTATGGAGCCACCTAGTGACTGAATTGTGTGCTAATGGAATTCTATTTGGTCATAAACAGAAAACAAGTCACAAACGAAGGATGTTACAAATGCCTAAGTCAGGACAAAGCCTAGATTCATGTGTATGTAAGACCTCAATTGTAAAGGAGATAGGACTCATCTGTCGAAGTTTCCATTCTTAAATTCTGCTTCTTTTATTGCCAACAGAAAGCTTAAATGTGGCTTTTGCAACAGCTCAAAAATTTTCCAATTTAATAGCTTTTCAACAAAGTGTACATGTTAGAGATAATTGGATTCCATTTTTAAATTCTTATATTTCACTGCACTGAATTAGTCTCAAAAAGTCAATTTCTTTAAATTGGAAAATATCTGTTAATGTTTCCAAACAAAATAGAACAGCCCCATTCCCTGAACTCGTAAAAGGCTTTTATCAGTGAGACACATTGGAACAACAGAGCTCTGTTTCTGGGGATGCTAACATGGCAGGAAATTGTCACTCCAATTAAAACCCTTTGTATCTCCAAACAGAAGATGTATAACAGTGGTATGTGCTTACTTAAAGGGCTGTATATAGCCTCACATCCAATTAGAACATTTTAGAGCAGCTGTGATGAAGGGGTCCTGAGTTGGAATCACACCAGCTTTTGTTAAACCTTTTAATCTCTTCCATTCACTTAAGAAGTGATTTATTATGAATCAGCCCCAGCGTCTTCCAGAATGATGGCTGCTTAATAAAAATGGTAAATGCCAAAGGTTGATAAGAACTTACACAGTTCCACAACTGTTTCAACCCATGATGTGAAAATTTATTGAAAATCTTCTTAAATTTATTAATGAAATTACAGAATTGGGCATAAACAGATTCATGGTAGTTTATTGTAATGTTGCTTGTCCTTTTTGATGAGCACAAATAGGCTTCAAAATATATCTTGTTGAAAAAGTAGAGTAAGAATTTTGGATGCTTGTACGCTTTACAAAGCCTCCACCCAACGAGACAAAGGGCAAGTACAGCACCCTGTGGTCTGTATCCGTGACAAATAACACACACAAAACATGCATTAATTTCTGATTAATATTTTATTGCCCCTTCCTGAATGTGAGACATCAGCATGCTAAGCATCATATTCCTTCTTGCAAGCAGTTCGATTACAGTCAGATGATCTTCACAGGACGAGAAATAGCTACAAAACTAAACCTTGGGCATAATATTTTAAAAGTATGAATAAAGACAAGTAGAATGAAATATGCAAATGATTTAATTGACAACGTGGATGTGTATAGTAGAAAAGGCACCAAAGTTCATAGAGCTCTAAGGCATGACTATAGTCAAAATGACAAGGAGAGCAGTAAAATTCTGTGGGACCCCAGGGTGTGGTAAAGAGCTACAGCAACCAGAAGAAAGCATACATTTCTGATTAAACATCTATGGCATGATTGAACCATATAAAAGATGCAAAAGTCGGCCAGATGCTAAGTCTGTTACTACAGGTACAAATCCAAGAATGCCACCTGCGGGGGCCATGCAGACAAAACCACGCTCTGTGGAGAAGGCATATCAGTAGTTCTCCACTGAACACCAAATCTAAAAAGGTGAGCTTGTATCATTTCGGGATGCCTACTGTGTGTCTGGCACCAGTCACAGGTTCATATGCACTATTTCAGCTAACATTTGCAGAACTCTCAAAGCGGTAATGATTTCTTTATTTTACTGGGGAGGAAACTGAGACTTGAGAGGCATTCTGAATTTTGTCTGCCCCCGAACCATCTTCTCTCCATGGGTTAGCAAATACACACAGGCATGATCTAAGTAGTATTACAAAACCAGGATTTTATTCCAATTTTGATTACTTAAAAATAAATATTTTTTTTCAAAATCAGAATAGAATTCCTTATAGTAAATTAACTAATGTTCACTCCACATCAAGACTCAGAGCTCTAGCAAGATTCATACTTCCATTTGAAAATAAAAAATAATTTAGAAATCGAAGACAGGGCTTTGCAATTCATTGCTACAGTGCTTGCTTTCATATTTATGAAAAGAATTTCTTTATTTTCCAAATGCACTCAGTAGGCAGGCAGTTTTGATGGATTTGTCTGAAACTTTGATTTATTGACATTCACACTCAGGAGACCAGAAAGGACACTTTCTTGTAAGGTTTTTCAAACTGCAGATTCTTAGGGCCAACCCATCACAGATTCCAGCTGAAAAACCCTGAAGAACGTCCTGGAAATCTGTATTGCTATTCATCTTAGCTACCACTGAGCCAGGAGTTTCTGAAGGACTTCGCAAGCCATATAGGAAATAATATAACGTTACTCATTTGAATTTTTGGTTTATTTTTTCAAAATTTTGTGTCATGTTATCAAATTACTGTTTAATTACTTGCTTCTTTATTTATTCCAGTGTTTATCTTTTTTATGGTAGACTTTCTCAGGAGATTTATTTGCTCATAATTACTAGGAGAAAGGATCATTTGTTGTGCTTGATTCTTAAAATATATGTATAAGAAAAGTCACTTCTTAGTTGCAGAATTTCAAGAATAAATTGTGTATGAAATCAAAATACCCATAGCATTTGGATTGCTGAGAGGTCTTTGTTTTATTTCAATATACTGACATTTTTATGCATGTGAAAAAATTACTTGAACTGATGTCCTTGTCATTGTGTGAATGAGTCTACACAGTTCCACTGAGATGCAAATTATTCTGATTCAGCACTGACCAGCAAGTAGAATCTGAACCCACAGCTTTTAGTCCAGTGTTTCGCAGGACACTATTTTCTGTAACTTACCACATGAATATCCATCCTCACAATGAAAATTTAACACAATGTCACACCAAGTTCTGCCCAGTGTCACTCAGAATGCCAATCAAAAGTAACCCTTCCTCTTACCTCAGCTTCCACGGGAACAGGAAATGGATTAATCCAACTGATCCTCTGCTATAAGAGGGTCAAAAGGGCAGCATTTCACTATTTCTTGTGCACCCTAATAAAAGAGGTTTTGGTTAAAGCTATATCCCAGGAATTACCTTGTAGAAAGAGACACACATAAAGGAAAAGAAAACTCCATGTTTCATATGCCCTCAGCTATCTAAGTGGTTATTTACCATCACAACTCTTAGTGATAGCCTTCGGATTGCAAATGGATCCCTCCCGCAAGGATACATGGGTACTTTATGCAACATAGTCTTGTTTCCAGATGAGTTCTGCCTTTATGGGTCCCCTGAAAGCCCATATCCCACACTGATTTATCTTCTTCCACTTGATATCATCAAAATGTTTCTCTACTGTGCATACACATTACAGCTTTTTATCCATTCATCCACTGTTGGATGCTTAGATTGATTCCATTCTCAGCTATTGTGAATAATGTCACAAGGAACACAAGAATGTAGATATCTCTGACATTTTTATTTCAAATCGACGGGATATATACAGCACAATTTCACTTATACATAGAATCTGAAATCATCAAAATCCTTCCACGAGAGAGTAATTTGATGGTTACTACAATCTGTAGGAAGAGGGAACTAGAGAGATGTTGGCCAAAGTGTACAAACTTTCAGATAGGGAGGAGGAGTACGTTTGATATCTACTGCACAGCAGGGCAACTATGGTCAATAAAATGTAATGCCAAATACCCTGTATCATTCTTTTTAACTAAAAGGCAAATTTTAAATATCTTACTATAAAAATGAAAGGTATACAAGATGACAGAAATGATAAACAGCTTAATTCAACCATGGCATATTATATAACAAAACATGACAATGCACCTCACAAATTTATGCAAATTTTTATTAATAAAAATACTAAAAATATTTTTTATAAAATATAAAATTCATTTTACTATCTTTCACCTCTGAAAAATCATAAACAGGAACTCTACCAACATAGACAGTGCATGTGAGTGAGCCCTGTGTGTCTTTTTTACTGTTTCCATCAGTCACAGTATAATTCCTCTATGTTACAGATATTATGCCAATAATCATCCAGGTAATGCCCCCCTGGCCATTGGAATCACTTATTTCTTACCAGGTCTAGTTAACAACTTACTATACTTCAGTTCATACTGTAAAATGAGCAGTACATCTAATTACATTTTTTTGACTTTTTTAGTAGCAATGTACTGGCAGTGACATTCTTTTATAAATGTTCCTAAACTCTAAAATCCTTCCTTGTTCTCCTTCCCTACCAACTCCACCATCCAACTGGCTTCTGAGTTCTGCCCATTTTGCCTTGCCCTGGTCTAGCTGTCTAGTTAACTCTTTCCTGCATCTCTAGGGTACTTCTTTATTCCCTACTATATCAACAGTTTTTGTGGATTACCTCTTTTTCTTTCCTCATTAGATTAAAGATTAATTCTGGAGCATGATCCTGCATTTCTTGGTATTTTGGTTAGAAGATAGCTATCATCTAGGGACAAATTCAGAACACACTCCACCTGCTTCTGGAAACTCAGTGATTGGATCTTATATAAGGCTGTATCACAGCATGAGCAGTAGATTTCAGAGGTTCCACTAGGAGAAAAGTCAGTAGGAGAGTTTTATTTTCATAGTACAGTAAGGTAGTAAAATTATGGAATGAAAACACATACTTGGTTAATTAAAGACCGTGTATTAGTTTATATCAGGTTATAAAATAATAAAATATAACTGAAAAAAGTACTAAATTCAGACCAATATTTATTAGATATTTGGAAGTATCTGGATGTTGTCACAAAGTATTCAGTACTCAAGTGATAAATTAATTTTTTCATTTTTATTTAAATATTTGCTATCCCTGATACCATCTTTTTAGCAGAGTTTTATTCTATGGCTTACTAGTTGTTAGCTGAATAAAGAGTAAAACTACATATACTCAACAAAGGTAAATTAGTGTCCAGAGACTCAGGATTAAGTATAGAATTGAGATGCTAATTGAACCTCACCTCAATTTTACTGAGAAACATACTCAAGACATGGGTCCTTTTCATGTAAAATACCTCTACAAATACCAGTATTAAATAGGTGGCAGAGATAAAGTCACACACTATTAAGCACTTAGTCCCAAAGCTTTCATACTCAATAAAGGGCAGCTAGTGCTTTTCCACTCCGAAGCTATTTTCCTGGTTCTATTTTCATGCTGCCTGTACAATGACGCATACGTCTTGAAAATCAAGTTCATTTTAAGCTAAGCCACATCTACCAAGCAAGCAGCTTTAATCTGTATGAGCCAAACTTTTCATTTAAAAAATGTAACAGTCTGTGCTATCTCCTTCAGCTGATGAACTTTTGTTTATTAAATGTCCACTCAGAAAGTAATAGGCATCCAAGTGTCTATAAACATGGAAACATCTCCTTAATAGAGAGCAAATGCTGATAGGAAAAGGAATTTATTTTCCCTTGAAGCCAGTAACCCTACCCTACATTTGCTTTGAAACAATAGATTTTAATAGCATTTCATGATGATATTATTTAATGACTTCAAATATCTAAAATATACTTTTCATTGCCCTAAATAATCAGACAAACATTCTATATTTTTATTCAGGAATTAAAGAATTCAGCTTAGTATGTTCGCTGTACACAAAGTACCCTATTACAATGTATATTTTTTCATTTGGATTAGCTCAAAGA